TATAAAGCCATATATATATTCATAATTTTTGAACTTCATATTTATAATTATTGAACTCTGTGTTCACAATTACAGAACTTTATGGTTTCATAATTACTGAACTATATATTTAATTATAAGACTATATATTCATAATTTTTTAACTTCATATTCATAATTATTAAATCTATATGTTCATAATTTTTGAATTATATATTTATAATTATGAATAATTTTGGAACCGTGTGCACCACACGATTCCACAGCATAATTTGCCAGGTCACCATCGTCACTAAACTCTCGAATTGTAGGGCGATATGCGGCCCAAGACACTGTATTTTACAGTACAAAATACGGAGTATAATATATTGAACCATCATCTCTTTCTTGGTAGATGATGCACAAGTACCCGATAAAGGCAAAGTTGAAAATATATTATATATTCGACCTTCTAAGATGGGAACATGTTTTGTTCCAAGACATTTCTCCATAGCTTTTTTATATGATTTCCCTTTAATTTATATAAGCTGGTTTCTAGACCCTTTGATACTAAAATATGAATTTCCATTGAAGATAATATGTCCACGCTAACTAGTCAACGATGTAGAAAGTTGCCCGCAGCCTATCTAGTAGTTCGATAAGAATTTTGGGGATAATAAATGGTTTATGGTTGTTGGTGGGGATTAATTATTTGACCTTAATAACTTTGTTGGCCCAAGGCCGGTTCTCAATATATCTTTTTAAGGTCACCGTACAAGGTTAAATAGGACAATTTGGCAATCGTTATACCCTACACCACGGCGCATATAGCACTGTGCGCCACTCCCAAAACGACGTCGTTTTGGGAGGCGCGGTAGAAAGTTGCTGGGATTATGTGTATTTGTTCACACAGTTATGTGTATTTGTTCATACAGTTATGTGTATTGGTTCATACAGTTATGTACATTTTTTATACAATTATGTACATTCTTTTTTATACAATTATGTACATCCGAATCAGAAAATTTGTGTGTATTATGTTAATAGTTGATGTGTATTATGTTAAAAGTTTATGTTTATTATGTATTAGAGAAAATTTCAATTTTGGTCACATGACTATAGGGGCATTGTTAATTTTAGCACCTGACTTTTAAAAGTGTCAATTTAGTACCTTGACTATGTAATTTTTGTCAATTTTGGTCACTCCGCCCGAATTGACGGTCAAATTTGGCCGGAAAAATTTAATCAAACATTTAGTCTATAATCTGAGGGGCAAAATCGTCTTTTGATCCTTTCTAGACTAAATGTTGGATTAAATTTTTCCGACCAAATTTGGCCGTCAATTTTGCCGGAGTGACCAAAATTGACAAATATTACATAGTCAATGGACTAAATTGATATTTTTAAAAGTCAGGTGTTGAAATTAACAATGCCCCTATAGTCATGTGACCAAAATTGAAATTTTCTCTTATGTATTATGTTAGATTATGTGTATTATCTTTTAAAAAGAGTATGTATATTTTGTTATATAATTATGTACATTCATGTATACAATTATGTGTATTCTAGTATAACATTATGTACATTTTTGAACATCGGATTTTTTTTTAAAGAAAAAACTACTGTCATTCACTGGGGCGGAAAATTTCAAAAATAAATAAATAAATAAAACGACGTCGTTTTGCATCTGGGCGCATAGTGCAACATGCGCCGTGATGTAGGATATAAATTACCACAATTTGGATATAATTAGAGAAGGATGGCATGAAGATAAATTTAAATAAATTCATAACCTTAGCATATGTAAGGACAAGTTATTTGGTAAGTTTGAAGATCGGAAGACATTTACAATTTTTTTTGGTAATTTTAATTTTTAAAAAAAGTTTGCAATTTTAATTTTGACATCTCTTCAAACTCTTAACTCTTTAAGTCTCAAACAGTAAAATTACAAAACATCGATGAATTACAGTAATACATAATTTGATAAGTTTTATTTATTTTTAACTATTTATTCAACAACATCAATGAGATTTTCATATCTATAATTTATATAACTTTTTTTTTTTTGTATCAATTGAATTTTATAATTATATTTTATATAAAATATCTATATGGGTTGGGTTTTAGAAGCGTAAAAAGAAAAGAATAATCAACTATTGCAATTACTCTTGTCTTTACAAAATAATAATAAGAGTTAATACCCAAAATAGTCCTTCGACTATGCCATAATTACCAATTTGGTCCTCAACTATCATTCTTACCCAATTAAGTCCTCAACTATGTAACTTTTACTCAATTAAGTCCTCAACTATACAATTCTTACCTAATTTAGTCCTCTGTATTAATTTGACTGTTTGTTGACTGTCAAAAGTCGGGATAAAATTATAATTTAACAAGTTTTCTCCTTCCTCTCCATTTAGCAGCGCCAAACCATGCAGCAATACACTCCGATCAGATTTCGATCGTCAAAAAATCGTTGGAAATCAAATTCATGGGCTATCCGATGCATAACCACTACTTCAATACTGACAGGTTTAGAACCCAACCGGAGCTTATTGCTACATGGTTTGGCGCTGCTAAATGAGGAGGAAGGAGAAAACTTGTAAAATTACAACTTTATTTCCACATTTGACAGTCAACAAACAGTCAAATTGACAAAGAACTAAATTGGGTAAAAATTGTATAGTTGAGGACTTAATTGGGTAAGAATGATAGTCGAGGACCAAATTGGTAATTACGACATAGTTGAGGGACTATTTTGGGTATTAACTCTAATAATAATAATAATTCACTGTTGAAATTGTTGAAATTTTACTTGCAATCAAGTATCTTACATTCTAAGAGAGAGTCAATGGATTAGCTTTAATTAAAATTGAAAATAAAATTTTGAAAAATGTTGATATCAAAAGTTTGGTGGATGATTTTGCATCTAAGCATGACAGTTTTGGATGATTTTGCATGTTAGTGATTTTGCAAGTTTGGTGGATGATTTTGCATGTTAGTTTTTAAATGAAATATTTGATGTATTATTTTTAAATATTTTATATTTTTAACAAAAATTTTAAACAATTATATATATATATATATATATATATATATATATATATATATATATATATATATATATATATATGCGGGCCCAAATTAGAATATTGTATATGATCACTATTTTGATTGGAACGGCCCTGCTTGTTGCCTTTCGTCAAAAAAGATATGTTTCATATTTTCGTTTGCATTGAAAGAGTTGGAAAATTGTTGGCAGTTGGCATTTTTATATATCTTTTAAAATGACAAGGAAAATATGTAAGTACTATTTGAAGGTGGACGCTAGATAAACTCAGTTTTTATATAATATATTGTAAATTGTATAAAATAGGTCAAACGCGCTAGAAATACCTTATGTTATACATGCATTTCACTCATTTTGAGGCGATATTTTAATTTGTGTTTATAAATCTGGAAAATAATCTTTTAAATTTGTAGTGTTTGATAAACAGTGAAAAATATGAGTGAAAAAATGATTGTTTGGTAATAAAAATATTCATTCTCATTTTCTTGAAAATGACTTTCCCTCTTTTTTGGAAAGTTATTTATCAATTTCTACACCAACACTACACTACCATCACCAACATTCCACCACCACTAGGGGTGTGCAAAGTTTGGTTAAATTTCGGTTAATCGATCGAACTGAAGAAGTTCGGTTAATTATTTTTTATCCGAAAAACATCGATTTGGTTAATGGTTAAAGACGTAAAAGTTTTATAGAATTTGGGTTAACAGTTAATTTGGTTCAAAACTACTGGTTAACTGAAATTTTAAATAATGCCAGATCTTCAACTACGGATTTTTTTGAAAAACCCAAAACCTACCGGCTTTGATAGTGGCCGAAGGCCATCGGAACAGATCTCTCACTGGTATACCGAAAAGCACACACACAAAAAAAAAAAAAAAAAAAAGAATTCATCCGAAGCGGCTTTGTTTGTGGGGACCTAGGAGGAGAGAAATTTTTTTTTTAAGCATTACAACCCTCCGCGTGTTGAGTGCTCAACGTGAGCCTAGAGGGTGTGTGTACTGCACGCACTCATGCGTGAATGTATTTTTTCACTTTTTTTTTTGCTTGACAATGCTTCTCTCTCTCTCTCTCTTTTTCTTTTCATTTCTCCTATTTTCTCTATCCCTCCTCTCTCTTATTTGACTTCTAAACAATTATGCAAAAATTAAAATGACATAAATACTCTTACTTATACGTTCACACTTAAAAAAAATACATTATTATCGTCACTTTAACAATATATATATATATATATATATATATATATATATATATATATATATATATATATATATATATATATATATATATATATCATCTTAGAAAATTAAATATGTGCCATCCCAAAAAAAAAAACAAAAAAAAAAAAAAACAAACGCAACTATATTTTTTTTTAAAACCAACGCAACTATATATATGTGTGGGAGAGAGAGGTGTAGTAGCAGTTCTAGAACATCGATAATGCGATCTGCATATGTTATTTGTCATCATATCTATCTTCTGTGTTTGGATAAGAATTTTCTTAGCTAATGGTTTTGTTGTTAATTTGGCCCTGGTTTCAAGGCAGCGTGTCGTGACTCGTGAATATTTGCGTAAACCATGACTTATGGTCTTCTAGAATGACATGCATGCAGGAGATGCAGGGCACATTAATTAAACAATATCTATACTCTAGAAGCAAGAAAACAGGAATATATTTATATTTTATATTAATTACTAATATAATAATGCCAATTGTGTTATTCATTAACATTACAATTTACAAAGCAGACCCCCTTTCGCACCAAGTCACCAACCTTGATTTGCCAACTATTTTTTTGCTTACTTTTTCTTTTTAATAATAAGAAAAATTCATATTTATTATGTACTTATTATGTACCAATATGTGAGATTGTGAGCATAAAGTCCAAAACACGCATAGTTACAGTTGCCACGTCATATTGACACCGAACCGCCGGTTCAAACTTATATAAACCCTTCAACCTCTGATCATTCAGCCATCACTTACAGAGCTATCCCATTCTCTCTCTAGCGACACCGGAAAACGCGTTTTCGTTTTCAACCTAAATTCGCCGTTCAAGCTCCGAGCAACACAAATCCGATCTCGATTTCTCGCATCGATCGTCGTCTTCATGGCTCTTGCGCAGTCTTTTGGAGTAGAAGATTCTTCCGAGAAGGCTTCTGCCTGCTTCGACTGTAATATTTGCTTCGACTTTGCGTGCGATCCAGTGGTTACACTCTGCGGCCATCTCTATTGCTGGCCCTGCATCTACGAGTGGTTTAATGTTCAAGGCCGTTCGGATAAACATCTCCACTGCCCTGTTTGCAAGACTGAAATGTCGCACACATCTGTGGTCCCTCTTTACGGTAGCGGCAAGAAGCTGCCGGAATCTGAGCCGGAAAGCAAGCTTTCTTCTCTGAAGGTGCCGCCAAGGCCGTCTGCTCGTGCACAAGCTCTGACGGTTCCCCATTCTCATCACCGGCTTTCGTCTCACAATTCTTACCAGTCCTTTTCACCGCCGTCTTTCAACCTCGCTGACAATCCGGCGGCAATGAGCGTCAATCACCCTGCGGTTGGGATGTTTGGCGAGATGGTATACGCTAGGGTTTTTGGAAACTCGGAGAGCGTTTATGCATATCCTAATTCGTATCACTTAGTAGGGAACAGTAATCCGAGGTTGAGAAGGCAGCAGATTCAGGCAGACAAGTCGCTAAGCAGAATAACGTTTTTCCTTTTCTGCTGCTTTCTTTTGTGCTTAGTATTGTTTTAGTTCCATCATTCATCCATCCCCTTTTGTACACAAAGATTCTAGTTAATGAATCCGAGATTGACTGCAAATCTTTTCCGGTTATCTTGAACTTGTTCATGCAAACTTTCGGTTCATCAAACGTTATTTTGAAGCATCACTTGATTGAATTCACATAAACTAGATAAGTATTGTCTAATAAAAGGCAGAATTCCTTTTTTTTTTTTTTTTTTGAATAACTAGAGAAACTACAATCACAGTCTAATAGATGTTTATAGACTAATCCCACTAAAAGTAGGGGTGCACGTTGCGCAATTGTTATACCATAGATTTGCTTTCACATTGCATAACGAATTCAAGTTCAAAATATACAATTTATATATTGAATATTTATAATTTACATACACAATTTATATGCTTAATGTTTACAATTTACTTTTTACAAAATTATAAATATTCATTATATAAATTGTAGGGAAAATCGCACTTTTGGTCCCTCAATAGTTCCTAGATATGCAATGTAGTCCCTCATTGTCAATTTTGTAAAATTAGCCCCTCAAATATTTAAACCGTAGTCAATTTAATCCTCCGGTCAAATTTATCTCAAACCAGGGTTAATACTATGGACAGTTTGGTAATTTCACAACCCACTAAATTTTATCCCCAAATTCCTCCTCCCTCCCGCATTGGCTTTTCAGATTTGTCTCATACCGGAATCCATGGTGACGGCAGCACCGCCGTGGTCGAGGGCGACCGACGGCGGTTCGGAAGTGCAGATGGCAAAAATATTAAATGAATACACTTCTTCCAAAGAAAAGAAATAAAAAACAATATGTAAAAAGAAAGAGAACCAGATCAGAGTTAATTCCCACTACTGCGCCGAATGAAGACTGTTGTCGCTGCCGACGAATGAATTCCGCCGCCGACTGGAATTGCGATGCTGAAAATTAATTTGCTTCACCACTAGACTTTGTCGCCGAAGGCTAGAACCCAGACACACACAATTATAGAACAAGTTCTCATTGTAGCCAAAGTAGAAAGAGAATGCATGAAACACTTTTCAAAGAATCCACTCTGGATTTCAATTAGAGGTAAAGAATCTATTTGCTGCACATTCAATTCTATTAAAATTTAAGGAAATTCATAATTCAAAAGCAGCTTAGTAAAACTTCACAAGAGAACCAGGAATCCGCAACAGCTTAGCAAAACATTTGGGCCATTTCGTTCCAATTTTGTCAGATGTCCCTGATTATCAGGAGAGAAAAGGAAGATCTTGAACAACAGAAAAAATTCGAAGAAGGCCTCCATCTATTAACCTTACTTACAATGCGTGGAAGTCGTCGCCGCCGACAACTTAGACGAAGCAAACAGAATGCTCCTCCAAGTCTCAGAGCTCTCAACCCCATACGGAACCTCCGTACAGCGAGTCGCCGCGTACTTCTCGGAAGCCATGTCCGCCCACCTCGTAAACTCATGCTTAGGAATCTACACGTCGGCGTTGCTCAATGCCCTCCCTCACAACCTAAACCAGAAAATGGCCTCCGCCTTCCAGGTCTTCAACATCACCGGCTCCTCTTCGCAGCAATAGGATCAAGGATTTGGGGGTAAACAAATTTAATCCCAGATGAAAGCTAGGGCAGAAATGAATTAGGGGTAAATGGCGTGGGAGGAGAATGGGATAACTAAGGACATTGTGAAATTACCAAACTATCCATGATATTAACCCTGGTTTGAGAGAAATTTGACCGGAGGATCAAATTGACTACGGTTTAAATATTTGAGGGACTAATTTTACAAAAATGACAATGAAGGATTACATTGCATATCTAGGAACAATTGAGGGACCAAAAGTGCGATTCTCCCTAAATTGTATATTTTTAACTTCAGTCGATCTTTCAAGGCGGTCCACATAATAATTTGCCATGCTATCGAGGGTCTTAAAGACTTGCATATTAAGGTGTTGGATAGATGGATTATGTTGTTGTACCAACCAGGCAAATCTGTGTGTCCACCTAATGGATGACGTTTGATGCCATGTCTCCAAAGTCTACAAGCACTTCCAGAAGAAGAATGGTCCACAATACTAGTGCAGAAAATTCTAAAAGCATTTTCCAGAAGCTACTAAAAGTTCACTGATATCATTTTCTTTTACAGCCCGGGAAATAAAATTTAAATTCCTTAAAAAACAAATTACAAAGAAAATAGATTTCATTGTTTGGTTAGTAAAAAAAATTACTAACAATATAAATTCTATTGTTTGGTTGGATTTATAATGGTAAGGAATTATGAATATAAAGACTAATATGTCCTTAACAATAATATATATGTGAAAAATAGGAAAATAAACCCTTAAATTTTACCCCAAAGGTCAGTTAGCCCCTTAAACTTTATAAAAGTACAATTAATAAACTTTGATGAGGATAAAATAATCCAATTGTGTTATATTTTCTTTCCAAACCCTTTGGAAAACAAAATACCAATCATTTGCTAGGATTTTGTTTTCTTCCCTTTAAGGAAGTCAAAATCAAATGGAAAATATTTTTCATCCAACCAAACAACATAAAACAACATTTTCTTCCACTTTTAAGAAAATATTTTCCATCCAACCAAACACCCCTTATAGGTGGCACAAATAGTATCCAATCATGATAAGTTACAATGAGCAAGTAACCATTAACAATCAAATAACGCTGATATCCATGCAGTAATCTTGTCATCACTGTTGTTCTCAACAAACATCATTGTTCTTGCCATGCCAGAGATTTTGAGGATGAAGTTGGTTCTTGGTGTCTTCATTGATTTTCATTTCAAAGGCCCAAAAATTAAAACTTCCACCAAACAAACTTAACTCTTCCATTCCCATTGCCAAACCCAACCCCACAACTCTCCACAAACCAAATGCCCCTGAGAATGGTCAGGGTCCAATCTAAAATCTAATAAAAGCAGTGATAGATACAATCAGCAAGGAGATTAGTCACTGTGTCTGACAGTGAAAACCTTGAGTACACAAAAAAAGAAAAAGTATGTTAACGTTAACTATCAAATAATCATGATACCCATGGTGTACTCTCAAGAAACATCATTGACCTTGCCAAGCTGTTGTCTCGTGACAATCCAAGATCATATCACCTAGGCACCACCTTGCTCTGCCTCAGCTATGGATGGATCCTTAATCAAACAAGATAGTTTTTCACGTAAGATTGGTGAGAAAGCTCGTATATCTTCTAAAGATTGTATCAACTCCTCAGCATTCTCCACATTGCCATGCTTTTCAAGATATTCCACACATTTAATCAGGGTATCCTTACTAGGATTAAAATCGGGTGGACATATGGATACGGCTTTATTCAAAGCTTCCAGAGCTTTCGGTTCTTGGCCATCCAGGAGATACCCGCCTGCCATGTAACACCATGTAGCAGCTGAAGGGACCCCGCCTTTAGCTATTCCTCGTTCTAAAACTGCTTCAGCTTTCCCCAGCAGACCTTTTCTGCAGTAGGCTTCAATCAAGTGGTCTGGAACACGAAAATCATAGGATAAAACCCTTGATTCCCATTCTTCAAAGATCCTCTCCATGCCTTCTATATCATCTAATTTTGACAGAGAGCCCATCATGCTCATGTAACCCGTATTATTAATCTTTTTTTCTTTCTGCTTGAACAAATCCCATATTCGGTACACCTCTTCTTTCTTTCCAAGATCTGCATAGTTTGTCAATAGATAAGTATATCCAGAATTCTTGTGCTTGGTGTTATTGCTGAACGGGATCTGCCCCTCGAGTTTCTTCAGCATTGCCAGAGCTTTGTCCAACTGCCCAACTTTCAAATATCCTTCTACTATGACACCATAGGTATTCCAGGTTAAAGTAATCTTTGGATTAGAATTAGATTCCATCACCTCGACTATTTTATCTATTCCAGCAGAATCACCCGCAGCAGCATATGCACTTAGGCGGATACCAACTGTGTACCTGTCATGATACAAGCCCTTTTCATCCATTTCTTTCATTATGCCATCCACCTTCTCCCATCTTCCCATACTATAATAGAGATTCATCATGATATTGTAAGGTAATGGTGTCTTAGCCCACCCCATATCCCTTATTTTCTCCATGGTGGCCTCGGCTTTTTCCAGAGACTTTTCTTGTGCATAGCAGTTGAGAAGGGCCGTGAGAAGAACATGGTGTTTGAATCGCTGATGGACATTACCAAAATACTCTTCAACTTGTTCCATGCCATGAACTTTGAAGATCAAATTCATTCGAGCAGCAACATCAAGAGATGTCATGGGAATGTATCTTTTGTCAGTCATCCATTTTGATACCTGTTTATACAATTAGAAGCAGATATCAAAGTCCATTGTAGGATACAAGAGAATCTAGACTTGGTGTGATCTCTCAAAAAGATGCAAGAAGATATTGCTTATGCTAAAGCATACAACTTTATACAGCTCAGCAATATAAATTTCCCTGCAAAGATACCTAGAGGTAAACTTGGCCTATTTTCATACCTAAAGATACCTACCACAGTCCACAGCTAAACTACCAAAGCATGAAGCTTAAAGTCTCAAGGTTCTGACAATATAGATATTGAGTACTATAGAAAGATGAAACAAAGAGTGAGCATACCTCAAGGGCATGTTTATATCTTCTAAAACGTGTCAATTCTTTGATGATTCTCTGAAGCTCAACCCTGTCTGCAGTCTTTCCTTCTTCGATCCACTGATCAAGAATTGGCAGCACAGACACGTTTGGGTCACCAACGGGTGAAATTCTCCGGTAGAGGCGTCCAGACCCATAGCGTGGCTGCATTGAAGAAGCAGCTGAGCCATAGAAACGTTTCAGGGCGTTTTGCCCAGCAGATTTCCAGTTTGGGTTCAGTAAGGTGGAGAGAAAAGCCTTCATTTTTAGGGTTTAAGTGCCCTCACAAAATCTGGGAAAAGAACAAGAGTCAGGAGAGGGCATTTAGCATGGTTTTGGACTTTTGGTGCAACAATTTCTTGGGTTCAAGGTAGTAGATTTGCTAGACAGGGCTACATCCTTTTAGGCCCATCAAATGGGAATTTCTTGGTTCAAACGGGCTTGTCCAGTATATTGGTAAGCAAAAATTGAAGAAGATAATGGTGCAAGTATTTTAAAATTATTTTTGTGTGATTAACAGTAATTTTAATTTAATTTCTAAATATATAAATAAAAATTTAAATTAAAACTTATTTTAATTAAATCTTATTAACCAATGAAATCGAAAAAGCAATACTCTAAAAATGAACTGTAATATATTATACTCCGTAAATGAATTATATTTGTAATCTACTTTACAATGTGAAAGGATATAATTTGTCCAATAATTGTTACTGGGTTAAATGCAGAATAATAGGAGTGGGGCCTTAACAAAATAGGTAAGAGTCAAATCAAGTCGGCTACCAACCCTTCATCAAATCCCTTTAGGTGCTGTTCTTCTTGTTTAATTTGTCCGTTACTACAGATTACCTTCTACTCATGCAACTTTGTAGTAACAGCTGTGCAGCATACTCTATATTTCTTCATTTCTACTAGTATTATGTATGTTTGTATAATTACAGAAAAATTATCATATAATAATGATGATTATATTGAGTTATACATGTCACTAATAGCCCTATTTAGGGTATAAATGGGTCAAACTACACCGAAGTTATTCGGGTATATATGACCGTAATTAAGATCTAATTGTGTGTTTTGTTATTATAGGTAGAAAAAAGTGTTAAATCTGTCACTAAAATCATCTCATTTGTAAAAGTAGGTTACTGAACTTAAAAAGTGCACAATCGAATCATCAAACAAGTAAATTTTGTGCAATTGAGACATTTTTTTGATTTCTTTTAATGCAATTTGAATATAAAACATTTTAATATTTACTACCAAGTAATATGACACTGGAAAGAACGACTCTTAGTACATACCATATAAGCAATATGATCGAGTTTTACTGGAAACATGTCCAATTGCACATATTTTACTTGTTTGATGACCGTTTAATTGCGCACTTATTAAGTTTAGTGATCCAACTGCACAAAAGTAAAAAAGTTCAGTGACATACTTATTCTTTTTCTTTATATTTAAGGTCTGTTTGGAAACTCGAAAAATAATTTCTAAAAGTTATTTTTAAAAATTTTATGTGTTTTAGCTATTTAAGGAAAATAAAGTCAAAGGCAAAATTCATTATCATCAACCAAAAAATCCTCAATTTGATAGAAAATATAATCCCGTCGCCTTTCTTCATCCTCCCTTTGGATTCAATGTAGTTGAGTTCGTACCAGAGTGAAGAAGACAATGTGTTTCTGAACCGGTGCAGCGTCATCCTGGAGGCCTCCATGTGCTCCGATGAGAGCTGCAGGTTCTTTTGGAGATCGTCGATGACGGCGCGAGCGCGGGCGTTAATGCAAAAGTGTTCGAAGGACCAAATCGTGTTAAAATTACAAAGTTAAGGACTTAATTGGTTAAAATTGAAAGTCGATGACCAATTTGTGAATTTAGCTATAGTTGAGGGACCATTTTAGGTATTTACTCCTTGTGTTATTATCCTATAACTCTATAAGACATAAGTTTAGGATGCACCTTCTTAGCTATGAACCGCTTAGACCAAGACTTTCTCAATAAAATGACCCAGAGCCATATATGGAGTACTATATTTTTAAAATTGAAAATTATTGTTCACAACTTCACATTACCACTTCCTTCCCTAAGAATTCCAAAAGAAAACTTCTCCCTTTCCAACAAAAGTAGGAATTCTCCTCACCTTGGAAATTCTAATCCCTTGCGCTCAAAGGATTACGGGGAGTGGGAATATTTGTTATTGGAAAAGAAGAAAAATAATAATTTTAGTGTAAAATCGTCCTTGAAGCGTAATATTTTTTTTTTGCTAAAATATAATACGTTTTTATATATTTATTTATAAAAAAAAAAGTATTACATTTCAATTAAATAATATTGTACGTCATTTTACATGAAATAATTTCATACAAAACTAACTGACTCAAAACAGAAAAAAAAAAAAAATCAAACAATAAATAAGTAGTGGAGCACACCCATATATATCCACATAGGTCACTTCATTGTACATCCATTCTTTTCTAATTTATCATTGCAAAGATTTTGAAGAGCAAGGAAAATGACACATCAACAATTGAAACTTAGATAATGCTATTTGTCTCCTTAAAATAAAAAAAAAAAAACTTGTTTTCAAGTGGTTTCATAATAAAGTTAATTATTTGACTAAAACATTCAAATCAAAATCAAAATCAAATTAAATGCCTTACTCAATAATCAAAATAAGTTTTTAGTAAAAGCAATTTATTTATTTAGTAGTAAATTAGAATCAAAATCAAAATAAATATATAAATATACATACACATATATTCAAATCCCTCACCAACACACAAAAGGTTGATATCTTTTTCATTTATTTTGTTTTTTTTATAATTTTTTATTTCAAAATTGTAAAATAGGAGATAGCGATTTTTTCCCTATTATTATAATGATACTTTTAAATTATATTTTCCAAATAAGATACTTCTAATTTCTAAACTTATATTTATGAACACCGATATTTTTATCATTATCATCACCTTACCATTAGCCATTTCATGTTATCATTGTTTAAAATTTTATATCACACCACAATTGGTGACAGTGTGATGATAATTCTAAAATTAAAATATTCTTGTTTAGAAAATAAATTTAAAATTAAAGTATGTCGTCTATTTGAGAAATAAAATTTAAAAATATTTATATTTTTTTAAAGAAAAAGTTTCCGTGATAGATATATTTTATTTTGAACAGTTTACTTAACATGCAGAATGTCTCCCTAAGTACGTGTGGGTATAAATTATAAAATAATAAAAATACAAAATCCAACAATTGAAGGAATTCTTTAGGAAAAGCGACTACAATAATTTAGCCAGACTCTTCCGAGTTCCGAAGCCCAGACAGCATTTGCGGCATTTCCTCAATTTTTTGGAGTTGCCCATGGGTGCACACTTTTACAATCCTTATACCATCTACCAAGATTCACAATGTATTGTAAGCTATTGTAACTTAAGGTATAAATTTTGTATCTGGAACAAATTAGTAATTGTGTCTTATATTATGAATTTTTGTGTTATGTTGTAAAATTCTGTGTTTATGAATACAAATTATGTATTTAAATCATATTTAAAAATAAGTAAATATATAACATGTGTATGTGTTTTGCATTGTGACTTTTTGTGTTTTGTATTATGAGATTTTGTACTTTACGAGTGTGAATTCTGTACCTAATTATACTCCGTTTAGTTGGTCACCTTTTGGAGCTGCATTTCCATTATTATTAAAATATTGTAGGACGTGTCCCGTTGAGCTTAATTCAATGGTTCAAGGGTCACAATGGAAGTCTTGCTCCAGTAATAAGGTAGCGGTTTAATTCTCATTGAAGACATGGAGGATCATTGGGAGACTAAAAACCTAAAAAATTGATGACTAATTAGGCGACTTGAGATTTACTTAATGTATTTTTATTTTTTTAAAAAAGAGCTTAAAAGATTAATGATTAATTGGACGACTTGTAATTTAACTAATGTATTTTATTTTCTTAAAAAATATGTTGTAGGACGTGTCACAAAATGGTTGAAAAAAGCACGCAACTTGGTATATCTCTGGGTGAAGCAATCATTTCTCCTTTATAAACTTGACAGAAAATAGAGAACAGGGAATGGAAAATTTTGGAAACATAGATATCCCTTTAAAAACGTCAGTACAGATTCATGTACAGAACAGAGCTATTAAAGGAAAGGCCCACAACTTTAGAATAATCATATTATATATAGAAAAGAAAAGCGAGCCACCTTAGCTTCCAAAGCAGTACTAGTAGTTTCCAAGAAGACTTGGAGATATTGTATGTGTAGAAGAACCTAACATATATATATATATATATACTGTTGAACATGGCTGCAGATGCCCCGGCGCCGGCGCCGGCGCCGTCGTCGTCTAGAGTTAAATGCCCGGCGCCGTTTCTGGTGAAGACTTACGATCTGTTGGAGGAAGAAGAGCGGAGAAGAGAAGAAGGCGGCGTTGAAAATGAAAGAGCGCAGGAGAAGATAGTGTCGTGGAATGGACAAGGCACCGGTTTTGTTGTCTGGTCGCCCCCGGAGTTTTCTGAACTTCTGCTACCTCGCTATTTCAAACACAACAATTTCTCCAGTTTTATCAGACAACTTAATACTTATGTGAGTCCCTCTCATCTCTCTCTCTCTCTCTCTCATATATATATACATGGGATTTTCTTGAATTTCTTGAATCAATCGTGGATGAAAAGGTGCAATATAATGGAGATTTAGTGCATTATATGTGTGCCGCGCATGTGCTTATTATATACTTAAATTAGATTTATGTTTTTTTTCTGCTTCTGCATGGCTTGTTGTTTTTGGGGATTAATTGTGTTCGCAAACCATACCTTAATTATTATCAATGTTCAAAAAGCTAGGTTTTATTAGATTATTAATACCTAAAGCTACTTTGTAGGAGCTAACTCTGAATGGTATGGTATACCTTATGCCATACCTTTTTGTCTCATTTTGTATGCCCGCCCAATAAATTATTCTTTAATGGATCATTATTCTTTATATCTCTTAATTATTCCTATGAGAGCTAATCTAATTGAAACAACGCAAAATTTAGTAGGTATAGTTACTTTAGATTTTTTTCAGTAGGTAAAGTTTGACTGTCCATAAGAATTTCTTAGTTTGAACAATTAAGGTTTCATTTTGAGTATACCTTCAACTACAGACTTTTTTGTAAATCAAAGTTCCTCTAAATTATTATTATTAAAATTTATATATGGTATTTGGAAATAATTGGTATTATAATTAGGGTATTGTATTTAATACAGTGTTGTGTGTTAATTAATATATACGTACGTCAAAGCACGAGATCATTGACTCATTGTTGAGAATGATACAGTAGTCAAAATGTGTGAAAAAGAATAGAGCTTAAAGAATTAATAAGGAGACAGAAAACAAATGTCTCAAGTAATTAGTCCAAAGTCAAAATAATCACGCCCCAACTGCATTGGATTGTTATTACTTATTTGACGTGTTAAGAACTCTTCATTAATGCTTTTGAGTCACGAGAAAACATTCCATCACCATTAAAAAAGTGTGTATTAACTATCAAATAAATTTCGTCTCTTGACTCTAGCCGGTAAAGGATTACAAGGCGGCAAATCAATTTAAGTCTATTACTAAGATTATTACGAAACAGATTATTTTTGTGAAAGATTTTGTAATTTGGCAATATAGACATGATATTTTATGTAAAAAGTTTTAAGATCTCATTTTTTTTTTTTTTTTATATTTATTGATAACATATTGTTTTTATCGTGTAATGTGATGTGTATTATGATGATGATGATGAGATAGGGATTCAAGAAAGTGGCATCTAAAAGATGGGAATTTCAACACGACAAGTTTAGGAAGGGGAGTAAGCATTTGCTAATTGAGATAAGTAGGAAGAAAGTTGAGCCCAGTGGGTTTCCTGCATACCTAAGAGCCAATGAAGAAGCTTCAACATCATCATCAATGGCGGCTGCGACAACATCCATATCCCAGGTAGACATTAATACGAGGAAGCTATTGATGGAGGAGAACAGGAACCTAAGGAAGGAAAGAATGGAGCTTCAGACGCAAATTGCTCATTTCAAAACACTTGAGATTAGGTTGCTGGAATGTCTCTCCACTTACATGGGCAACCACAATCACCACCATCATCATCATCGTCAACACAATAAGTTCAGGAGACTCTCTTAACCATTAATGTTTTACTGTCTGATCTGAAAATATATTTGTCGTTTTCGACCTTGTCCTGTCATGGGTTTGTTCCGGTCAAAATGTTGGCAAACGGATCGGAATTGTCAAATCTTCAAACCTAAACATCGGTCATTCCTTTGGAAATTCTGGGCTCTTCCTTAACATTTTGTGTTGACATTAATTCAACCTTGTGTCACAGTGCCACCAGGACATTGTCGCAAATTCGCAACAATTGACCTATTTAAATTGTATTACGTGCGTTCACACATATAGAATATTTTCTTTCTCATCTTTCTAAATTGAAAGAGTAAAGGTCTACCGTGGTGCAACAATTCTTCCTCCCACACGTGCCAATCTTAATTGCCTCTTGTTAAGATTCAAACTCGTAACTTCACTAAATCAAAACTATCTATAGCGTTTACCATTATACTAAAAGTTATAATTCACAACAAAGGGACAACTTTATTCTCTTATATATACCCCTTCCACCCAACAATCTCATCACCACTAATTGTTGGACTTTGACCTTCACCGGTCCTCGCCCAACAACTATCAACCACTATTCTTGATTTTCTTTTTAGCCTGCAATCGTTACTTAAAGATGTGTTCAGAGTGAAACCTGAATTGTGATCCTAGTTAGTAAATATCACATAAAAAATAAACTAATTTAATTTACTTATAGCTTATCTGCTTAAACCAAAGTCAAATGGCCAATAAACAACTTTCACGAAAAGTTAAACTTGGAACCTACTCGTACCCTATCAGTCTATCACACTTCACATCAAGCGAATCTGGCAAATAAAACATTGTATTTGCAGTACTAGCTCACAACTAAATAAATTTATTTTCGTGAAAAAGCTACGAGTATGATATAAAATGTCGCTAAAATGATTAACACCCCACACTTGGACAGAGATAAGCTTTTGTCTAAAATCAAACACAGTACTTAAGAGTTAAGACCACAAACATAACCAAAAATGGTGAACACTAAACCAAAGCATGCCAACACCGCATATATTGTTCAACTACTAAGATAAGCAAATCGGATCGTACTCTCTGTGTTTATTATTCTGATAGAGTAGATTTCAGCTCCCCGTTGTTTTTCAGCTCCAAGATTATATCACAACCTCCTACCAACTCACCTTTGTAGTAGAGCTGTGGATAAGTTGGCCAGTTGGAGAATGTCTTCAGCCCCTGCCTCACTTCCTCGTCAGACAATATATCGAATGATCCAAACTCGATTCCTTCCTCCTTCAAAGCGTTTACCACCTTGGAGCTGAAACCGCATCTTGGAGCCTCTGGGGAACCCTTCATGAAAAGGATAACTGGTGAAGAATTTACCAGTTTCTTCAGGCGGTCTTCTAGGGTATCTTTCTGGAGAACACCCTTCTCGAGTAGAACCTTGTTGAGCTCTCCACTCTTTTGCATCTCCAGCACAATATCAGATCCACCAATAAGTTCGCCCTTGATGTACAGTTGAGGATAACTTGACCAGTTAGAGTAAACTTTGAGTCCTTGACGAACTTCATCATCAGTGAGAATGTCGAAACTGTTAAAATCTACTTTCTCCTGGTTAAGGATGTCCACTACTTTCCGACTGAACCCACATCTAGGCTCTTCGGGTTTCCCCTTCATAAAGAGCATAACTGGGCTTGAATTTATCAGGCCTTCCAGACGAGATGTTAGTGCTTCACTCAGGCCCGAGGGCTGAGAAATGCCACCCTTCCCCTCACCAGGTTCAGTTGAGGGAGCCTTGTCCGAGCTGGAGATTTCAACCCCATGATCGTTAAAAACATCCTTGAGTTCACCACTCTCATGCATAGCAATTACAATGTCACAACCACCAAGAAGCTCTCCCTTGCAGTAGAGCTGAGGGAACGTTGGCCAATTGGAGAATTTCTTCAATCCCTCTCGAACTTCATTGTCTGTCAGAATATCAAAGGTTCCAAAGTTGACCTTCTCGTTCTTCAAAATTTCAACAACTTTTTTGCTAAACCCACATTTAGGTTCTCCAGGACTTCCTTTCATAAACAGCATGACTGGGTGGGAATTAATTAGCTGACCTAGTCGAGTTTTCAGTCCATCGCTAAGTCCAGAGGGTGCTTGGCTCTCAACTTGAGAAGCGCCATTGTTCTTAACAAGATTTTGTACTGTCTCAATAATAGTTGGCCCAGCAGCCATTCCTAGGCTAGCAGGAGCAGCAGGTTCTCCAGGAGTTATTTGCCCATAAATTTTGGAAACCTTGTTGGCCAAAGCAGATGGATCAGCACCATCCAATGTATCAACGGTTTTACCATCCTAAGAGAAGCAAGAAAAACAACAATTACAATTTAGCAGAGCAGTACATCCTGTATGGAATTAAATAGAAGAGACAGAGCATAATGGAAAGGTATCCTCCCCATTCGCTAGATAATTAGATATAGTAAGCATAAATGTAGAACCTGAAATCATAATAACCCCAAGACGAAAGAGGAAACATTTACAAGAATTAACAACCAAGGCATGATATTTGGAAAAACTTGATGCTTTGTGCAAAATCGTGAAGATCGAAGAGTCATTCTTTGAAACATATTCTAGGATTTTTCATGAGTCATGACTGCTAGCTCAGAAACCTATCTCCAAGATTATTGCACACCCGCAAGCTTTTAAGAAATTTTCAAAAGATGAAACTATATTTCTAGGAATAAGCATTTATATCAACACTTTGAGTAGGTGTGATGCCAATGCCTTTCTATCGTATACAAATAACTAATTAAGAAAAAAGAGAAAGCAAATAAAAAAAAAAATTGATTCCCATGTTCCATTATTTAAAACAACCTTTTTTGCAACTTCCCCTGTACCATTCAAAATCCTCAGCAAAAATGAACCATAAAATACAGCTCAAAGAAAAATATATGCTGCAATAAAATTTTTAAAAAAAAAAAAAAAAAAAAAAAAAAAAAAAAGAGGAAGAATCAACACAAAACTATCCAATTCAAGTTACCTTGAAGAAAACAAAATAAGGAACTGCAGACACTGAATATGCCTCTGAAATTTCTGGTTGTTCTTCAGCTTCAACCTGTAGTTACACAAGGCGACTATTTAATGTGTGTATATGCATGCGTGTATGTATTTTTGAAAAAAAGATGAAATTAGGATGAAAAAGGTTTAAACCAGAAAAGCTTATGCCTGAAAATTCAGATATCATACTTCCATGGAAAAATCAAATATCGATAGTGACAAGTGTCCATTTAATCAAAGAAATAACTGAATGGATCATCAACTAAAGCATACAATTTTGTTTTAAATAGACATAAACAACTCTGTAATTTGCATGTACCGTAACAACTAATCAGAATATTCATCACTACTTAAGTCAAAAGAAACAAAACACAGAATCAAATATAATGAAGTTTACAATAGGATAGTTTCACCTATAATAAATTTAGGATTTTATAATTTCAAAACGTCAAGCAAATGGTTATTATTTTTCAAAAGTATCAACTTCAGAAGCTTAAAATTTAAGAGCTAATTTAACATGGATACCTAATAGCAGAAAGGATAAAAGTCAATATCTTTGTTCTATGGATAAATACGAAAATAAATGTGTGCTCAATCTGAATAGGATAGCTATAGCAAAATTTGCTTTAGCCTGGACCTTAAACTCTAAAGTGTCTGCATACTTTTATACAGAGATGATTAAACAATGATTTAGATGATTTCCTTTTGATATGACATAAATTATAGTGAGTGATGATGGCCTGGGAAGGGAAAAACATACAAAGATACTAGAGTTCAGGGGGGGAAAAGATATAAAAACGGTAAGTTAGAGGTGAAAATTGGCTGAATTATATTCTTACAAAGATATTGACCATCTCAACAAGGTCATAGTATATCTAATGTTGCATATATGATACTCAAGAGCATCTCTACTTCTCACCCTATTTAAAAATTTCGAGATCAACATTGAACTCTATGCATCTCTGTTAGCAGTTATCATTTTAACAGAACCAAAGCTTTCCTTTACAAAACCAAACCTTTCTCAGTTCATTTGCAAAATAATTGTTCGGATTCAATTTTAACAGAACCAAAGCTTTCCTTCACAAAATCAAATCTTTCTAGGTTCATCACCAAAACAATTGCAACAAGACCTTAACCTCATTAAAACTCGATTAATCTTCTACCAAGATAGTCTCGCATGGGAATATTTGTTTTAAGGCCCATCTATGAGCAATCAATAAACAAAATGCTTATTTGCACCCAAAAAAATAAACAAAATGCTTATAATTCACTAGAATCTATAGCTCACTCGAAACTCCAGCAGTAATATCAATCTTTCTTAATCGATTTAGTAGCACAAGTCAATCAATCACAACAGACACATGTATGCAACCACATATTGCATATATATAAATGTAAAAATAAAATTGGGCGGAGTGGAAAGCTTACCCTGAGGAAGTGGGCATGAGGGAAATCAGTGGAGAGGTGGGAGAAGACTTGGTCCATGTGCTTGGAAGCCTCGCACCAAGTCGCCCAGAAGTGCACAACCGCCGGCGACCCATCGGCGACAAGTTTCACAAGTTCTTCCTTCGATTCCAATTCCTTTACCCCACCCATTCTCTCTCTCTTTCTCTTTCTCTCTCTCTCTCTCTCTCCCAGTGAGCACTGAACACCGATAGACTCCGACGGGGATGGAATCTGCTTCTGCGTGTTGCGTGCGTTTTATATCAGTTTCTGTAGGCTTTGTTGTTAGTATATATTTTAATTTTCTTCGGTATTAGGGATTTAGGATTTACGAATCGCATAACGCCATGAATTTTTTGAAGGACAAGTTTGTTAATATTTTCTTGACTTAATTCACCAAGGTCTTTTGTCTTTGATGATAATTTCAAATTTAGTATTATTGTATTTGTTATTTAACATCTATTAAATTTTAGATATTTTTAGTCATTCTCATTTCCTATTTTTAGTAAGGGTATTTTTGTCTATTCATATTATTCTTTTGTTATTTTTCATATTTCAACCAGTTTAATTGGTTTAGGACTTTACTAATAACTAGTTGAAAAATATGGTTACTAAAAATTAGAGGTTACCTAAAATTCTAAACCAATCAAATTGGATGAAACTGAAAAAATAACAAAAGAAAAATATGAAAATACCAAATTACTCTTATTAAAAATAGAAAAAGTTACAAGAGGGACTAAAAAGTATCCAAAAAATAATAGTCCGAGATGTTAAATGGCAAAAATGATAGTTTGTGACTAAATTTAAAATTGTCACAATGACAAGGTACCTTTGGTGGGAGTAACTCTACTTTCTTTTTAGCCTTGACGGGTCTCGGAACAAGATGTAAATAACGCTATAAATAGCGAAAATAGTCAAATAAACTTTTAAACTTTACTCAAAAGTATAACTAGGTCCTTGAATTTTAAAATAGTGCAATTAAATACTCGAATTTGTCAAAATGAGTCAAATAAGTCCGATTACTGGTAACCAACAAATTACCGGTAAAATTATCGATGTTGACCATTGTTGACTGCCGTTAACCATTGTTCACCACCATTAAATAATAATAAATAAATAAATAAAGCACTTCCAGTGACATTTTCAACCGGAGAATACGATCGGACCAATCGTCTTCTCCACATGAAAAGGCGACCAGATTGGTCGTATTCTCCAATGGAGAAGGCGACTGCTGGCGTCGCTTTCTTCTACAGTTGAGGAGGAGGCAGCGCTTGATCACCATCTTCTCCAGTAAGAAGGCGACTAGAGCCGTCTTCTTCAATTGAGAATAAGGCGACGTTGATTGCCTTCTTCGACTGAGGAAGAAGGCGACCGATTTAACTATATGAAGTTTAATTATTAGGTATTATCAGTAGGTGATCGACTATTGGATTTGAATGCATCAAAATGATAAGATTATGTGTTTAATTGAACTTTTTAAAATTTGAAGGCCTAATTACATTTTTGTGGATTATGGTCCACACAAACAATATAACTTTTGATGCATCATGAATATAGTTTTTTATTTTATTTTATTTTATTTTAAATGAAACTATGAAAGAAATCTTGCAACTAATCAGTCATTACTTTATATAGTATATAATGAGTAAATTTCACTTTTGAAAAGTAGCTTGAAAATTAATTTTTAGGTACAAACTTCATCATTTGGTCACTCATTTTATAACTAATGTAAAAATATATGTAGAATATAATTATGCAATAAGATATTATTGTGTATAGTTACGAATTAGTACAATTTATAACTATTTTACGCATCGAATCTCTTAAAGCCAGCCCAAAAGTCACATCATTTTTTGTTCGGCCTATTTTTGCTTTCTTATATTCTCTGGAACCGCAAATTATATTGTGCAACTGTGTGCACCATGTATGGTGCGGCACACGGTTACAAAAACGATGTCATTTTGATTAAAAACGCGCATTCCACTTAAAAAAAATAAGATTTGATTTTCGACAATAGCATTTTTGTGTGCATAATTTGAATTATATATCCACAATGAATGAATTAAATATCCACAGTAAATGAATAACTAAATATCCACAATGAATGAACTAAATATCCATAATGAATGAACTAAATATGCACAATGAATGAACAACATAATGTTGTTGAGGAGATCGAAATTGATTATTTTTTTTTTAAATGAGACGTGCGTTTTTAGTCAAAACGACGTCATTTTGCAACCGTCTCCACCATGCATATCATAACCACAGAATGACAAATACATTCACTCCCAAAAACATTGGCCCGTGCACAAGCTTGTTGCACATTTGGACTCATTCAAATTTGGCATTGGAAGTCCAATAATTTTATATTTTTACATAAAGTATGCTAGTCAAATTAAAGGAATGTTGTTCATTTATTTTGTTTAATTTCCAAATTTGCATTTTCTTTTAATCTGAAAAATATAAAGATTGAATCTTTACATTCTATGTAAAATGACTCTTGAGCTGGGGGTTACAACAAGAGTGGAGTAAGATTTTTATCGGGTAGTCTAGAGGTCATATCTAATTTGACTGAGGCTCGAAAGAAAGCGTTTTGATGACAATTAGAAGTGCAAATGAATTATGTAATTTAGAAATAATAAAATAAGTTAGCAAATATTTTCAAAAAAAAAAAAAAAGTTAGCAAATGTGTTAACTCTCTAATCCCTTCAGCACAAATGTGACATCATATCCCTTCAGAATATTATGTTTAGCAATTTAGGGTACCCTGTACCCATTCCACCGGATCGATTGAAATAAATTTAAAAAAAAAAAATTATTGAGTTAATAGACTAGAAAATATTTAAAATTTGCAGAGTTAGGAAATACCTTCTGGTAGAATAATGTTATTGGACTTAATCCTGAATTATTATTAATACCTTCTGGTAGAATAATGTTATTCGACTTAATCCTGAATTATTATTATTATTTTTATACAAAGTGGTGTTGACCTGTTATATTTTATTTTATTTTATTTTTTAAAAAAATCATAATTAAAGACTTAAATACACTTGTATTTTACAAAATTTAAAAGGTTTTGTTGATGGTGAACCAATAATGATCATATAATAATAATACTAAGATCAAATTGAAATATAATGTTCAAAAAAAGAATAACTAAAAATGAATTGTCACATATAAATTTAAGACAAAAAATAGAATTAACTCAAAAATCAAATAAGAAAAAGAAAAGTCAAAGGTACCCACCATTTGGCTACTATCCTGGTGCACACAACATATATGCACCGATTTTTTTTTATTTTTTTTTATATTTAAATCAAGGAAAAAAAAAAAAAAAAAGAGTGCGCAGATTTTAGCAATAAAACCTTATTTTTTTCTCTTTTCTTTTTATCTCTCATCCACATTCAGTTCAGAGTAAAAACCCACCAATAATAATGCTCTAAATCCATTATTCACATCCATTAATTTTTGTGTCATTCTTAAACAAGAATAATGTTAATCTTTTATTTATCTTTTTAATTTCATTCGGTGTCTAGCTAAGTCAAAAAATAAATAAATAAATAAAACAACACAAGTACATACACGTTAGTTGTCCAAACAATGGGAAGTCCAGTTTTCGATTTCAAGTCAAATTCTCTTAGCTAGTTTTTTTTTTATTTCTAAGGCACCAAAACACCATTTTAGTGTAAAAATTTGATGCAACCTTCCTCCAAGAAAGACACCAAATTTTACACCAAAATGGTGTAAAATAATAGTGTTACACCAAATTTGGTGTAACACTATTCATTTACACCATTTTGGTATAGAACTTAAAAAGAAATATTTGTCAAATTGTTTTCTTTTAAAAGTTTATATTATTAAAAATAAATTATAAATATTTAAACATCTCATTGAGATGTTTAAAACATGATCAATATGGACTATAAAGTAATTAAAAATTAAAATGCATAAAAACATAAATTTCATTTTAAATATTATTATTTATATTAATTATATTTTATATTAAATTAAAATATTTAAAGTAAACAAAATTAAAGTTTTAAATTATAATAATACAAATTATTTTAGTGTATGAATAGAATTTGGTGTAAATGGATTAGAGATTAAATAAAATTTGGTGTAAATGAGTTGGAGATGAAAAAAAATTTGGTGAAAGCATATGTTGAAAATATTTCTTTTGGTGTAAAATTTGATGCAGAATTTGATATTTTGGGTTGGGATGGCCTAAGCACTTGTTATGTATTGCCAATAAAATTCATGCAAAATTCATGTTGCTCTTGCTTCCCATTTGAAATGCATGAAAGCTGCCATTAATTGGCAATACTCATCTACAAGCTTTTTAAATGTCTAAAAACTCCCCGACAAATTAATTAATACCCAATTGCTGCCACTGACTATTTAATTTTGACTTCATTTTTGTATATAAACCCCATCCACACTTCAACTAACTATCACCGTCTCTAAGTTGACGTAGTATCATGTATCAGATCACCCGCAACATGGCAGCGTCAAAAGGGTTTTGCATAGTTATTGTGGCTCTATTAAGCTTAGCGCTAATAACTTGGTCTGCCCATGGAGCTTGGCAAACCCCGCTAATAACGGCTTCTATTGGTGCAAGAGAAATGATTGAAGAGCTTAAATCACAGATTGATGGTCGTGTTTTGAAACCTAGTGAAGCAGCTCGTATCCTTGGAGAAGGTCCTAATTTCGGTGGTATCCCTGGAGGTTGGGGTGGATGGGGAGGGGGAGGGGGAGGGGGAGGAGGTGGGATTGCTGGCCCCGGGTTTGGTGGCGGTGGTCCTGGTATTTGGGGTTGGGGTAGGGGTGGGGGTGGAGGAGGAGGCGGTTTTGGTCCTGGTTTTGGGAGAGGCGGTGGTGGTGGTGGAGGAGGAGGTGGTCATGGTCCCAGTTATGGTCCTGGTTTTGGGGGAGGCGGCAGTGGCGGTGGCGGTGGCGGTAGCGGTGGTGGAGGTGGTCATGGTCCTAGTTATGGTCCTGGTTATGGAATAGGGGGCGGTGGCGGTGGAGGTGGAGGAGGAGGTGTTCGTGGTCCTAGTTATGGTCCTGGGATAGGGGGCGGTGGCGGTGGCGGTGGCGGTGGAGGTGGAGGTGTTCGTGGTCCTAGTTATGGTCCTGGGATAGGGGGCGGTGGCGGTGGCGGTGGCGGTGGAGGTGGAGGAGGAGGTGTTCGTGGTCCTAGTTATGGCCCTGGGATAGGGGGCGGTGGCGGTGGCGGTGGAGGAGGAGGTGTTCGTGGTCCTAGTTATGGTCCTGGTTATGGGATAGGGGGCGGTGGTGGTGGCGGTGGAGGAGGAGGTGTTCGTGGTCCTAGCTATGGTCCTGGTTATGGGAGAGGAGGTGGCGGTGGCAGTGGAGGAGGTGGTGGTCATGGTCCTAGTTATGGTCCTGGTTTTGGGAGAGGCGGCGGTGGCGGTGGTGGTGGAGGTGGTGCTCATGGTCCTAGTTATGGTCCTGGTTTTGGGGGAGGCGGTGGTGGCGGTGGCGGTGGAGGAGGAGGTGGTCGTGGTCCTAGTTATGGTCCTGGTTTTGGGAGAGGCGGCGGTGGCGGTAGTGGTGGAGGTGGTGGTCATGGTCCTAGTTATGGTCCTGGTTTTGGGAGAGGCGGCGGTGGCGGTGGTGGTGGTGGAGGTGGTGGTCATGGTCCTAGTTATGGTCCTGGTTTTGGGAGAGGCAGCGGTGGCGGTGGAGGTCGCGGTCCCAGTTATGGTCCTGGTTTTGGGAGAGGCGGTGGTGGTGGTGGTGGAGGAGGAGGAGGGGGAGGGGGAGGAGAAAGTAGTCCTAGTGTAGGTTGGGGATCATGGCCTTATTATGGTCATGGTAGAAGCGGAGGCGAAGGCAGTAATGGTCGGGGAAGAGGTCCTAATTATGGTTCTGGTGGTGGTTGGGGTGGGGGTGGGGGTGGAGGTGGTGGTGGAAGTGTTGGAACAAATCCTAGTCTTGGGTACGGTGAAGGTAGTGGAGGTGTTAGAGGGCATCACGGTGGGGGGAGAGGCAAGGATTGGAGTTACGGTTGGGGTTGGGGTGATGGTTGGGGTTGGGGAGAGGGTGGGGGTGGTACGCAACATGGATTGCCTCCTTCAAGAGCCCCATTCCCCCAACATATGGATTGTGTTGGCCCTTCTTGTCACACCTCCCCCCAATCAAAAGGATCTCATAGTTATAACAACCCCCAAGAAGCCATGCCACCTCAACCTGCCTAGCCATCCACCCTGTACTCTACACTATATACCTTTACCTGTTAAGCAAATATATTCCTTTAATTTAAATAAACTAGGCCTATACAATTGTATACTCTATTGATGTTTTTATACTACATATGCAATTATTTTATATTTTCAGATCCTCAATCTATGATACCATGTTTGTGCATCAAAAAGTTCGTTCTACAGATCAATTCAAAGAGAAAACATTATATTAACACAAGTATGATATGATGTTGAATGAGATTCAAGCATCATTTACAATATAACACAGCAAATAACTTGCAATTGGCTAAGAACTAATTCATATATATCAGCCTAAAACTGCCTGATTTTCTTTCTCCCTTACTTGAGCATAAACCTGGAGGAAACGGTGTGTAAGATTTCACGGATGCAGCTTTGATTAGCTTTGCATCAAAATAGAGGATTTTAAAAATACAAAATAGAATTTATATAAAAAAAAAAAATTTTAAAAAAAAAACCAAAATCTGGTTTGAACGGAAAGTAGAACCTTAATACAATGGTCCAATCCAGTTCGGCCGATTTCAGAACCGAGAACCGCCGGTCGGAACCAGAACCGAACCGTGAGCATGACTACATATATCTGCAGAAAACATTGATAGATATTGTCGAAGGGAGACTCGAAGGGTAGTTAAGTCCAACACCAGGTGATTAGGGAATTGTTGGACAGACTCCTGAAAGCCAAAGTCCATCACTTTTAAAAAATGTGGCATTAACAACTACACAAGTAATGTATAAAATTACATATTCACTAGTCACTATTAGCTATAATTTTTTACATAGCCGTAAGCGTTGATCCTAACAATATTCACCCTTTTGCCGGAAAAAAGGGTACAATCATTAGAATCAAAGAGGATGAAAGCAAATTAAATTTCCCTTGCAGCTCCTTGATGACCTGACCAGGATGGAGGATATGGCGCGAGAGACCTTATAAGCCTCAACCATTATCATAGCTTCTGTGTCCTTGAGAGACCATAGTATTTTCTCATGTCAGAGGTATTATCTAGAGCTCCAAAAAAGATGCAAAATAGATCCTCCATCACAATCAAAGACCGAATATACATAACCAATTAAGCCGGTTAAGCATATAATATACATAGTATTTCCTCAAATCATGACTGCCATCCCTTTTTTTTTTTTTTTTAATAAAAAATTTAATATTAATTTTTTATTATTATTTATTTAAAAATGCCACATCAGCTATCACTTAAGATGTTCTATAATTATTGAAAATCAACAGTTCTTGGGTTTGAATGCACAAAAATTACAAGTTAATAGGTTTAATTATAATTTTTAAAGTTTAATTAAAGAGCTAATTAACTTCTTGAATTGTATAAAGTTTACTAGTTTTTTACGCGCATTGTGCGATTGGGATAATGTCCAATGTTTTTTTTTTATTTAAAATAAGTACTTTAAAGTATATTAAGGCAAGATTATATTGAAATTGTTCATGCATAGATAATTGAAGGTTGAATTTGCGTATTTAAATAGGTAATTCTTCTCGCAAAGGTTGAGTCCCCAACCCCAAGGGCCCCCCACATTCTGACCCGACAGAGCATTGTGGGAAGTTGTAAATCACGGTGACTCAATGGTTCAGCAGACAGGACCAAATGCCGGTGCGAACAAGGAATCTACCCACTTTGGACATAATTCCCGTACTGTCGCCGCCGAGGTTCAAGCCTTGGTCTCTTCTCCCAAATACTGCCCACTAAACCATTGAGCTAAGCCCGTGCGGGTTAAATAGGTCTAATAAGTTTACAAATGCAAGATAATATAGTCAAGATTGATTATAATTGTCAATAAAATAATTGTATAGGTATGGTTGAAACCAAATACGGGACATAAGGGAGAACAAATAAAAATTAGGGCATAAAATTTTAAATATATACTAATATTGTTTGAGGAGATTTCAACATTAGGATTTGTGGTTAAGTTTTATTAAGACTTTAATATTAGAATTAGATTAATGGTGTAATTATAATTCTATATTAGACGTTAATATTAGAATTAGACTAACGGTGAATTAACGGTATTTAACGAAAAAGTTAAATGGATAATCATATAATTAAGGATAAATTAGAAAAACATTAAAAAAAATTAAAACCTGAAGAATTTGAACCATTCATTTGATTTAATAATTTAACGGTCATTTTTTCTACCCAATGTTAATAATTAAATAAATTCGTTGGTCAAATCCACTAATATAATCCGCTAACTACTGATTGTCAAACAAGGACATTGCAAGGTAGTTCTCACTTTAATTTGTTGTGTGATTTGAATACTCTCTTTGTCACAAAATCTCTCAAGTAGTTAATATGGTTGGCTTTAATTAATTATATATTTTTTTTTAATTTTTTCATGGTATTAATAAAATACTTGGTAAATAAATATATAGCATTATTTTGTATTATAACTTTGATATTTAATTAGAAAAATAGTGCACAAAAAAGATAATAGACAATGTAGTGAATATAATCAATTGATGAATTTGAATGTAAAAATTTTTACATTTGAGAAAAATAAAGACAATATACCTGATGAAAATATTTCTCTTAATTAATTTATTGATAATGAATAATTTTTTTTACTGAATTAAGACATTGTAAGGACAATGTAGCGAATATAATCAATTAATAAATTTGAATATAAAGAATTTTTATATTGTAGAAAAATAAAGACAATATAACTAATACAATTATTTCTCTTATTTAATTTATTGATAATGAATAATTTTTTTTTTGAATAAAGACATTGTGGACACATAATTCTAAATTAAAGAAATGCATATCTATAATTTTTTGTTGTAGCTACTAAATAATTATTTATATAATTTAATAAGAGTAAAATAGAGTACTAATTATGCCAACTTTGATTGGGATGAGGTTCGAACTTAAGACTTTTTTTTATTGAAATCAATGAGTAAGTTAACAGTGAACTAACGGCAATTCTTAAAATTTTAACGGAATTAGTAACGGTGTGTGGGTATTTTAGAAAATTTTAGTGTAAAATTTAAATCTTATCAATCTTTTAATCAATCTGAGCCATTCATTTGATTAAAATTTGTGACCGTCATTTTTTCTACCCATTATAGGCCTAACTCTCTTGGGCTCTTATTAGTATAGTTAATTAAGGATAAATTAGAAAAACATTAAAAAAAAAATTAAAACCTGAAGAATTTGAACCATTCATTTGATTTAATAATTTAACGGTCATTTTTTCTACCCAATGTTAATAATTAAATAAATTCGTTGGTCAAATCCACTAATATAATCCGCTAACTACTGATTGTCAAACAAGGACATTGCAAGGTAGTTCTCACTTTAATTTGTTGTGTGATTTGAATACTCTCTTTGTCACAAAATCTCTCAAGTAGTTAATATGGTTGGCTTTAATTAATTATATATTTTTTTTTAATTTTTTCATGGTATTAATAAAATACTTGGTAAATAAATATATATAGCATTATTTTGTATTATAACTTTGATATTTAATTAGAAAAATAGTGCACAAAAAAGATAATAGACAATGTAGTGAATATAATCAATTGATGAATTTGAATGTAAAAATTTTTACATTTGAGAAAAATAAAGACAATATACCTGATGAAAATATTTCTCTTAATTAATTTATTGATAATGAATAATTTTTTTTACTGAATTAAGACATTGTAAGGACAATGTAGCGAATATAATCAATTAATAAATTTGAATATAAAGAATTTTTATATTGTAGAAAAATAAAGACAATATAACTAATACAATTATTTCTCTTATTTAATTTATTGATAATGAATAATTTTTTTTTTGAATAAAGACATTGTGGACACATAATTCTAAATTAAAGAAATGCATATCTATAATTTTTTGTTGTAGCTACTAAATAATTATTTATATAATTTAATAAGAGTAAAATAGAGTACTAATTATGCCAACTTTGATTGGGATGAGGTTCGAACTTAAGACTTTTTTTTATTGAAATCAATGAGTAAGTTAACAGTGAACTAACGGCAATTCTTAAAATTTTAACGGAATTAGTAACGGTGTGTGGGTATTTTAGAAAATTTTAGTGTAAAATTTAAATCTTATCAATCTTTTAATCAATCTGAGCCATTCATTTGATTAAAATTTGTGACCGTCATTTTTTCTACCCATTATAGGCCTAACTCTCTTGGGCTCTTATTAGTATAGTAGATAGATAGTAGATATAGTAGATGTGTGTATTTAACCCTTTTCCAAAAAAAAAAAAAAAAAAAAAAAAAAAACCTTGATTTTTTCTTTTTTCTTTCCTCTCTCATCCACATCTATCCTCTTCACGGGAGTAAAAACTCACCAATGATTATGCTCTAAACTCATTATCCAAATATATCGTCCATTGCATGAATTTGTGTCATTCTTAACCAAGGGTCATATTAATTGATGGGGAATATACCTTGGTATATCGCCCCTCGGGTAGTACATAACATTAGCCAACCATAATCTCAAGTTGCCCGACCTAAAACTACGCCCGAGCCATAGGAGTATTTCAGTTGTTGAATGTAGCCTTGGTGCTGACTCCGACCAGTAAGGTCGAGATGGACATCCCGGTCATGAACACTTTAGAACTCATTGACGAGCCATAGTTCCCACCCACCTTCTCTTAGCGGGTCGGGCACTCATAAACCTTCATCCATGTGGCCGTTGAGGCTCCATTCCGGAGCGTATGTATTGCATGTGCGACACGTGTTGGACATGCTGGCAGCCCGACATGTATCTCCACCCCTCCCCTATAAATATAGCATACAATATTGCTTAGGGGAGGGACTTTTGGATCGTCACCTAACACGTACATGCTCGGAATCCTCTTTCTGATCTCCAATTCATATACTACCCGAGCATATGCCTTAAACCAACAAGCATGCTAGAGAAAGATCATACACCGATCCGACCTCAAGACTTATACATACTTGTGGAAATCAGCACATTTACCAATTACCACATCAGATACGAATACGTATATCCCGGTGGAATGTACTACATTAATTTTTTATGTATCTTTTTAATTTCATTTGATGTCTCCCTAAGTAGTCAAGAATATTAAAATAAAACAACAAAAATAGTATTCGATTTCAAGTCAAATTCTCTTAGCCAGTCATGCAGAACTAGTGGGTATATATTAAGCACTTCTTAAGCATTACCAGAAAAACAAAACAAAATCCATGCAAATTTCATGTTGCTCTTGCTTCCCATTTCAAATGCATGAAAGCTGCCATTATATTGGCAATACTTATCTACAAGCTTTTTTAAATGAATGTCTTAAAACTCCCTAACAAATTAATTAATGTCCTATTACCCATCCACTATTGTTACTTCATTTTTGTATATAAACCCCTCAGCTCTCTCACTTCATCTATCACCGTCTCTAAGTTCACGTAGTATGTATCAGATCACTCGCAACATGGCAGCTTCAAAACTGGCTTGCATGGCTTTCATGGCTTCCGTGGCTTTACTTCTTGCCTTATCGTCACTCAGCTCAGCTCAGAGTGCCAATCCATCTTCACCAGACCACATTTCCACCATCAACGCTGACGGCGAAGACGCCAGTGGTGGTGGCCTCAAGGCTCGCGTCTTAGGTGACTACGGCCGCCGCCGCCACCGCCACTATTACTACTGGCCGTACTGGGGGTGGAGAGGCTACTGGCCGCGCTGGGGGTGGCGAGGCTACTGGCCGCGCTGGGGGTGGCGAGGCCACTGGGGCCACTGGGGATTGCGAGCCCGCCGCGGCCTCGTGGAAGATTACAGCAAAGTGCGTGAAGGGACTGTGGGCGGTAGTGGCGGAGGATATGGCCGCGGCGGTGTTGGTGGAGGTTCTGCGGATGATTTGGGTATGGATGGAGAGGCCGCCGGAGGCGGTAGTGGCAGCGGATATGGGACCGGAAGCGGCGGTGGCGATGGGGGTAACTACGAACGAATTGATATACACGGCAGCGGCGGCGGCGGAAGAGTTCCAACTCCGGGGAGTTATCAGTGCAAGCCACAGAATTGCATTGGAAAAGATTGTAACGAATTTATGATTTACCTTGATGAAGTCTATACAGAGGGAAACCATTAATGGTGTTTACAAGGAAGAAAGACAACAAACCACCTGATGACCATAAAAAAATTTAAAGGGAAGAAACATATATAGAAGCCATTATTGTAGCTTTATCTGGTTTCAGATCAATTGCAGTGAAAATTATTATCTGCCATAAACAAAAATGATAGGCATATATATTTGGAATAAAAATGCTTATACGTTGAGCTATTCTAATTTGATAATTATCAAATTTGGTGATTTTCTGTGAGTGACTAGGGAAACCCAAGTCGGGAAGGCCGGCTCAAACCGCCCAACCCAGTGAATTTTTAATTATATATTCCTTAATCATATCATCATTTTATAAAAGTGAAAATGATCAAATAATTTTATACTAAAAATAATCTTTAAAAAATTACAATTAAACAATTTCATTTTTGTGTATATAGGTCCAATAGCCCATTTTCTCAATTCACATATGTAAATTTAAATTAACAAAAATAAAATATATTTATGATAACACAAGTGTGATTCCATGTTTGTGCATCAAAAAGTTGTACAGATTAAAGAGAAAACATTAACACAAGTGTGATGTTGAATGAGATTCAAGCATCATTTACAATATAACACATTATTATTACCAAACTTTGATTTATTACCACCAAAAAAAGGGAAAGTTTGCTAGTCTCTATTCCCCCTCAACAACTGTTGTGCCTGCCCAGTTTGATGCACTTCCTCTCCGCGGAATGCTATGGAGTCTGGTGTAAAAATCGACTTGGAAAATAATCGCATTCACATTACTGCCATCATCGTCCTCGCGAATCATCGCTTTTACCTTGTGAAGTGGATGATCAAAGCTGGTTAGCCCACTCTCACTCAAGAAAATGCAACCTGCAACAGTTCAAATTAAACCCAGTGTTTTATATTAGGACCAAATATTGCAGAAAACACAGCAAATAACTTGCAATAATTGGCTAAGAACTAATCCATATATATCAGCCTAAAACTAGCTGATTTTCTTTCTCCCTCGAGCATAAACCTGGAGGAAACGGCGTGTAACATTTCCCAGATGCAGCTTTGATGAGCTCTGCATCAGAACAACATATCAATGATCCATCACCAGTGGCTCCCCAGTGCAGTGCCACACTTCCTTCGCGATCCTGCCATAATTTAACACGACTAGCCAGTCAATTTTATAGCTTTTGACATAATGGTAAGCGTTTGATTCTAACATATACTCACCCTGGCTAGAAAAAGAGTAGAATCTTTAGAATCAAAGAGGATAAAAGCAAATTTCCCTTGCAGCTCCTTGATGACCTGATCAGGAGGATATGGCGCGCGGTCCCTTAACACCTTATAAGCCTCCACCATGATCATAGCTTCTGTGGCCTGTCTTGACAGACCATAGTATTTCCTCAAGTCAGAGGTATTATCTAGAGCTCCAGAAAATATGCAGAATATATCCTCCATCACAGTCACAGACCTAATATACATAACCAATTAAGCATATAATATATAAAACAGATCATAATCCAGCTATCAGTTTAGACTTTTCAATCAAACGTATTGAGTAATAAAAGAGTTATAGTAAATTACCTAGGATGAGATGGGGTTTCACCACCTACCCCCAAGAAGTTCCCATTAGGAAGTCTGTACAAAGTTGAGTCCCCTGGCTTCTGTGACCGGAAAATCTCGGCGATTTCTTGCCGGGTTTTCTTGTCAGGCTGCCCGGCCAAAGGAAGGCTGAGCTCCGGTGGTGGCTTGGCAATGGATTGCTCAAAAATAGCCAACATTTTCTTCAAGATTCCAGAGTGAGAATACAGAGAGTCAGTCCAACTGCAGCTACATATATGCTATTTATCTATGAATATAATGAAGAATTAATGCTTATCCATATGTCTGCGCATGTTTGGTACACTTAATTTATAGACAATCATACAAGGATAAAGCCAAGAGAAAAAAGTGAGAAGGCTTCTGTTGATTTCTTTTTTCTTTTTAGTTTTTTAATCCTCCAAGTGGTTTGAATAATGAGCCCTTCACAGGAGATAATGCCAAAAAAAAAGGTCTTTATTGTGAACAGATGAAACTGGGTGCAGAGTGGTAAACCAACCACCAGCGTTTAAGGTGGAGTGGTCCCCATGGATGACACCAAGTTGATGAGCCTAATGTCCCATTGTTTCCAGGGAAAACATTGTTTTGCAGAAAACTGTGAACTGCAGGTAACATCATATGATAGTTTTCTAATTATATTCAAGATTTGATTAAGCTTAACCTGAACAACAAGGCATCTGATCGAAGTTGTTTTTTATGTCAAAATAGACCAATGAATGTACAGTATTTGGAGTCAACCCCATTGTAGGTGGTAGGATTTGGTTAATTTTGTAAAGGAAAAAGGTTCAAACTGCAAAGTAGTTATTGATGTGGCAAGTGAAAATGTAATAAGTCATTGAATCTAAAAAGGGGAAAGTGATTAAAGTATGCACTCCATCTCAATATTTATATATTGGCTCTGTTTGGCAAATCTAGCTGAAAAGCTATAAGCTAGGAACTGAAAGCGGAAAATGAGGAGAAAGCTGAAAAGCTATAAGCTCAGAGCTGAAAACCGAAGAGCTGTTATGATTGAAAGTGTTTGGTAAAATTAACATTTTGATAAGCTGATAAATGTAAAAAAACTAAAAATGACATCTTCATAAAATTTAAATTAGTTTGTTTACATATTAAAATTTAACATTTTGTCTTTAAAAAAATCAACATTTTGAAATAAAACTATTAGCATAAATGCATAATCATGTGCACCTCTATTATATGTTCAATCAGCCCCTTACATGTGCACCTCAATTATTTTTGATGGGTTCTAAGTAACACGATGACCATGTTATCTTAAAAGATCATTTTTTATCTGATTTTACCAGATGAAAAACTAAGTCTGACAACCTAGTTTGACAAAACAACTAAAAAACAAAGCATCACTTATGTCTCGTAGCATATCTCTAAAGGAGTGTCCCAAGAACATTGGTTTGATAAATGAGAAATTTCATTTAAGACTTGTTTCAAACGATATAATGAGAGTTTGGATTTAGGTTGGACTTTCTTATGTGCAGAGATGTATAATTTGATATTAAATTTTGAAAATAGATTGGCCAAACTTCCTACCTCATGAGCATAAAATGAAAGTTTATGAAATTCATTATACAATACAGCGAAGTTTTAAAAATTATTAGGTTATTAAAAAAAAAAACAAAAAAACAACCACCACAAAGAAAGGATGTGCCATCATTGGGGGGAAATAGACAACACTCTTGAATTTTCTGTGTCATCTTCTAGCCAGAAAATGGTAGCTAATACCTACCATCCTACCATTCAACAAATCATTTATGTATTTCCTTGTGGGGTCTACGTCATTTTTTTTTACTCCGCATATAAAATTACATCAAACGATTGATACAATATTTATCAGTATTTAGTTTTAAGCATGGAAAAATTTAATCACATTTTGTTATTTTTCAAATAAAATATTAATAATGTCATAGAAATTTATTTAGAACTATCATTAAATTTATTTAGAGCCAAACATATTATAAGGGGCACGAATAAACTCGAATAATAAAAAGAAAATGATAAGGAGTTCAAGAATAATCAAGAATGTGTGTATTACTTTATATAAAATTGTTAATGATTTTTTTTAATGAATTTTATACTCACAAGTTATATTTGAATATTCGAAACAATCAACCATATAAAATAGATAAATTTAAACTTTCCATAATTAATGCATAAAAATTTCTATTTTAATTTTTTTTTTTTTTTAATTTTTTGTGATGATTTTGGTGTGTGCCAAATTTGACTCGGTGAGTTACTGAGTTTCCAGCTCCGATTTCCCAACCACTGGTTCAAAGTTCAAACTGAGTTTGCAAAGCAAAATACCAGATCAGGCCAAACAAAGTTCAATCAATCATTCATCAGAAGATAATGCATAGAGGCTAAATACAAAGCAAAATTCAATCTTATTATGTCTCTGATTCCGATTAGAATTCTGCAAATTATGATTGCCCAGAAACAGAATGAAATTGGATTACAACTTAGCAAATTTCTTGAGATTAACATCAGCATCTTTGGCGTGTTCAGGAACAGCCATGACCAAGAGAGTAACCCTAGAAGAAGATATCATCACTCGTTTATCTTCGTCCGATGGGTCAACCTTCCAGAGCTTCACTTCCCAGACCTGAATGGTGTTCCCGACGTTGACCGGCGTGGCCTCGGCGAGGACGAGGTCGCCGATCCGGGCACTCTTCAGATGGTGGATGCCCAGGTGGAATCCGGCCACTCTCCGGAACCCGGACGCCATGTGGGCCCCCATGCTCGCCAGAGCCTCCGCTATCAGCGCCGAAACTCCGCCGTGCAACACCTTGAACGGCTGGCAGCACTTCTCCGTCACCGGCAGCCGCCCCGTCACCTTGCTCGGCGACAGCTCGCCTATCTCGAACCCCACTGCGTGGAGTGTCCGATCCAATGTCTCTGTCTTTGTTTTCGATGGATCCATTGATTTTCTTGAATTCTAGTTCACAAACACACGAATTGATGTATGATTAAATCTTGATTTTTTGAGTGATCAAACTCTTGTTGTTTCAGTCTTGGAAAAAAATGAAATCTTTGATCCGTGGTACTCGAATTAGGTTGTTTGGTGGAGTAAAAAACACTCGTCTTATCGATTGAAGATAGGAAAAACGAAGTACCCAAAAGATTCAACAAGTTGGTGGGATGATGTGGTCCCACTGAATTTAATTTAAACATCATTATTTCCGAGAATATGTTCTTGAATGATGCTGCCCAGTATCGAACTGGGGACCTCTAGTGTGTAAGACTAATGTGATAACCACTACACCACAGCATCAACATATTTATTTTTGAGTAATAGTATTTTACTCTCATTTTTTACTCACTAATACTCTGTATGTGACATGCTTTGATTACTCAATATACAGGAGTCATTATTTTTATTTTTTTATCCATTACTCTTTTTTTTTTTTTTCTTCCAATAAAATTTGAACGCTTAGTGGGAGTAAAAGTTGGGAATAAATTTTCGAAGTCCAATAGTATTTTTGTATACTTTTAGCATTATATTAACCAAGTCGATTTTCATAAGTATTATATTTTCACTCATAAATAACTATTTAAACCCTAATATTACATTTTCATTTTGAGTATGACATTTTTCGTTTCTCTCATAAGTAGTTGTTAACTCTTAAGTATTACATTTTGTCTTATAAGTGACAAATATTTTATTCATGATTAATATAATAGTATTACATACATTTTCATCTTGATCTGACTTGTCTCACCAATAATGATACGTAAGAAAAGGATATATATCTGTTTTAGCAAGTGAAAAGTTTCCTAAGAAGAAACCAAATGAGTGAACTTTCTTGGATGTTTCCTCAATTCTTGGTCCCATCAATCATGCCAAATTCTGTTACAGCTATCTCATATATTTCCCACTGTAACACATTCTCCTCTGGCAAAATAGACAAGAATTCCTTCATTTTTATAACTGGTATAGTAAGAGCTTATACCAACTGCTAACAACTGTCAAAATGGAGAGGATACTGAAGAACTGCCTGAAGATATCCCTGAAACTAGCCAACCTAACCTTAGGAACTGTGGGCATAGCAATGTTCATGTATGGCCTCTGGATGATCAGAGTTTGGCAGCGGGACACAGCCGGCTCGGACTATGCTTTTCCTTGGTGACCTCCCTTTGATCAACATATATTGTTTTCTTAGATGTTTTTGTGTTTACTGGGAATTTTAAGAATACATTGTTGTGTCTGATGTTGATGCAGGTTTGTTCATGCATTTCTTGGCATTGGTATTGGTCTCTGTGCAATCACATTCCTTGGTCACTTTGCTGCTCATACTGCAAATCCTTCTTGCCTCACTTCTGTATCCTTAATTCCATTTTTTTTTTTTTTATATGAATTATATTCTCTCTCAAAACAAATCTGGGATGAGTACTAATCCCATGAAATGAACTGCAAACCTTAACTATGTAGTATATGTTTACCATCTTCTTGCTTCTGTTAGCAGAGACTGGATTACTAGCAGATGTTTACCTCAATTCTGACTGGGAAAAGGTTGCCTGTCTATATATATGTGCATGAATTTAACATGGATTTGATTCATTTAACTATAAATGTTATGATGATATATCACAGGATTTACCAGAAGATCCATCAGGGAGGTTTAATGATTTCAAGAATTTTGTGAAGAATAACAGTGAAGATTTCCAATGGATCACCCTGTTCATTGTGCTTGCTCAGGTATAAACCCATGTTCTGAGAAATGCAAGAACAGATTATAATCTTAGATCCATTACTGAAACATTTGTAATGGCAGGGAGTTTCGATTTTATTAGCAACTGTTCTCAGAACCCTGGGAAAAGACACAAGATATGAGAGGGAAAATGGTGAGCCAAGAGTTCCACTTCTGGATCAACCTGACCAAACATTTCCAGCATATCCATATGTTGTTGGTGAACCAAGATTCCCCTGCAAGAATGTCTGAGGTTCTTGAATGTTAGGATTCTGAATCAACCAAAAACGAAAAGATGCTTGCTTACCCTCATGTAGACTTGCAGAAAATAGCTAATAGTAAGATGCAGAATCAGAAATGTATCCATGTTTGAGTAGCTCTGGGTACGAAGACCCTATATTGAATCAAGAATGCAGAAAATGAATATGTAATGAGATTTCAGTTTCGTGTGTCCAAACAATTACATATTACAAAATCGTATAAACAATGAAACAATGGAATCAAGCATTCATTTGTCAATCTAAAGCCTAAACAAAGGGACGCTGATTGCTTAACAATGTCACAGAACAAGGAGTCCAAGAATGGGAGAAGAATCCCATTTGAAGCCTAAAGTAGAGGGGGGATTAGTTGACCAAAAGAGCAACTATTCAGATTTCTTCTCCCTCATATCTGCCAACTTTCTCTTCATTCTGCTAAAAGGCCCAACCGTACAATCCATTACATACATATAGATGACTTGGCTCCAGGATGCATACGAATCTAGAGTATCATAATATTCCGGTGCAATCTCTTTCACCTTGTAAAGCTTGCTCCCGGGGATCCTGGGGAAATCATGGTGCTCGTTGTGATAGCCTACACTCCATGTCATTAGATTCAGAGGACCATAGTACGAGTATGTCTCCTGTTCGGGATTGAAGACATAGTGCTCTGAGATGAAGTGACCAGCCATTGGGTGCATGCCGCCACCAACAAATGTCGACAAGATCAAATAAGCAAAAGATTTCCAACCGAAGAAGTACACCAAAGCAGCATCGAGGGCAAGCTGGACAGTAAAATTGGTGAACTCCCATACACCAGGCGGTTTTGGTTTGAGAAAAAGAGGCCTGAAAGCATAAAAGAAGAGTTGCAAGATAACCCATACGCTCTTGGCAATGGCATTTGTGACAAGGTGGGCTTCAGTAAGGCTGGGGAGATCCATGTCGATTCCATCATAACCTTGGAATCTATGGTGCTCGAGATGATACTTTTGGAAGGTGACGGACATGGGTACCCCAACAGGAAGGTTAGCGAAAATCCCAAGCCAGCGATTGTATACTGGGGTTGAGAAAGCGAGATTATGGCTGAGCTCATGGATGGCCAAGAAGAGATTGTGGTTGAGAAATGAACCGAAAAAGTAGGACACAGCTAGAATTTTCAGCCAGCTTGCATTGTAGAGATAGGTAGCAGTCCAAAGCTGAAGGATAACAACCACAGATATCTGGAGCAACAAAATTTATATTAGTCTCAACCCAAAAAGGGATGCTGTTCTTATTTGCAAATCCACAATTTTCAAATATTTGTAATGCCATGGAGGAAAAGCATGTAAAACTTATCCCCATAATTCCTGCAAATAAAATCACTTCCTCCACCATACATTTCTCCAGATTTTAGGAAGAACATATAATGCAAAAGCCATGATTTTCTCCAGTTTATCACACATATAGATAATTCAGAATTAAGCAACCAAACAGTCACAGAACCTTGAACATAAACTATATTCTTTTTCTTTAATCTTTAGCTTCCCAAATGATTGCAATGAGGATTCAGATCCTAAATGGAGATGAAGCAGGTTTTCCAATGGAAGCCCTTGTGGGCCAACAATGGCTGTGGGTCCTAGGCGCCCTTTCTGGGCAAGAAATCAAGAGATGAAACAACTGATAGTTTGGGAAGAATGAATTTAATTACAAGTCCTTTTCCTCCAGACAAGAAAATTAAATGCTTTTAAGGTTGTTGAAGAGGATATAATCAATTGCAACATAACTACCAACACTTCATTAAATTGAGGGGTTGACATTACATTTCCCAATCCGATCTCAGATCCAAAGTACCCATTATGCGAAACGAAAAATACAATCAACCCACAAGATTAAAAACGAGAACCCATGAATGAATGCGCATAAAGATTGTACCTTGAGACAAGCATAGGGGTCGGGGCCAAAGAGCTCTTTGATTTGAGGGTACTGAGAGAGGATCTGCCGTCTACGCGAGGCATGAGGCTCATCTGTGTATGACCAAAAGAAATCTGTAGCCATTACACCTTCTTCTCTCTCTTCCCCCGCAAATCCCATTCTCTCTCGCTCGCGCTCTCTTATTCTCTTCCCTCTACGGACTACTGGATCTTTCTTGTTTTTTGGAATGTTAGGCCTCTGGTTGCTTCTAGTATTTGAGCAGGCCAGGTTAGTTTCACATGAGCGGCATTTGCGGGACGTTTAAATTTAAATGAGTGAAAAACGATTAAAAATTTTATTTTTTTAAAGATTGCTGTTCATAAATTGCAGAAAAAGACATATGGACCATGTTTCTCTCTTTTGCTCTCTGCCTTTCGTTCCTTTCTTGGACACAATCACACAAAAAGCCTGTTAGCTGGAAATTGCAATTTTAATCCCACTTTTTATTAAAAAAAAAATAAATTGTCATATATCATCATATTACATTTGTGACAAACATCATTTATGTTTAACTAAAAACAATAAAATTAAAACAATTTAATCTATGTAGCTTTGTCTTCTTTACACCATCACAGCTGTCTTCACCCTTGCTGCTTCCATCATACTTGCCATGTGCATTGTCCTTTTACTCTATTTTCAGCAATTGTGGACACATTATTATTATTACAGATAATTTGGACCGTATTTCTCTTGCAATCGATATAAATTCATACTTAGATATATAAAAATACAATTAAATGCACTAATGCAACACAAAATGCATCACACTTAATGGTGCATTTTCAAATACTTTGTAGTGCATTTCTGCGTACCTAATGGTGAGTGACAACACAACTGTACAGATACTTAATGCGTACCTATTTATACATACCCTGTATTACTGACATTAGTCATGCCGAGATACTTTGAAAATTTTAGAAAAAAAAAAATTTCAATTTGAGTCATATGACTATAGGGGTCTTGTTAATTTCAGTCATTAATTTTTAAAAATGTCAATTTAGTACTTTAACTATGCAATTTTTGTCAAATTTGATCACTCTGGCCAAATTTCGCCGGAAAATTTTAATTATTAAAATAATTAAAATATTTTGACTATTTCACGTCTTTTTTCGTCTTTTTTCTTCTTCCCAAGCGAGTCCATCCCTTCCTCTCCCGTTTCCAGTGAATGCAATGAACTTGGATAATGATATTAAAGATAGGATTTAGAGGGGAAAGAACGCCAAAAACTCCTGTTTCCAGTGAATGCAATGAACTTGGATAATGATATTAAAGATAGGATTTAGAGGGGAAAGAACGCCAAAAACAGGAGAGAAAGAGATGAACTTGCCGGGAAGAAGAAAAGAAGCGTGAAATGACCAAAATACCCTCATTATTTTAACTATTAAAATTTTCCAACGAAATTTGATCGGAGTGACTAAAATTGACAAAAATTAGATAGTTAAAGTACTAAATTTACACTTTTAAAAGTCAAGGACTGAAATTAACAAGACTGCTATAGTCATATGACCAAAATTGAAATTTCCTCAATAAAAAATTTCATATGGTATACTTGGAGTTGAAAAGGGATGAAAGGGTCATCAGAAACTCTCATATAAAAAGCTTAAAGAAGCCCAAAAGATTCATATCATATATGGGGTAAGCCCAAGTTTAAGAAGGCCCAAAACACTGATAAACAACCAAGCAACACAACTGTACATGCATGTACATACTAGGATATGAAACTACTAATATAACACTGTTCTTAAACCTAACCCTGTGCCACAATAACTCAGGCTGGGTTCTTATAATCAGAAGTGGAAGAAGAAGCCACTCCAGATTTTCTAAATCTAGTCGGACCGACTTATTTTTCGGGCCCTTTCAGTAATTCAATGAGAGAAAATGGTGCTCGAGAAGACAACCCGAGAGGCTGTGTCCACTCTACCTTAGGTGAGTATCGTAAGTAGTGTCAAAAACGCTATGAGGCACAATCAGAGGCAGCTTCTCTATGTACATGAACAGCCTTCTCAGGTTTTCCCTTGTTATAGTTTCCATGTCCATCGCATCCCGGTTGTCCAGATATACCCAAAGGTCTCCAGAGTTCACGCTTTTCAGACTATCCCGGCAGAAGGGACAAGATTGTGACCTTGAACGCCTGCAATTCGTAATTAGGATTAGGATGGGTGACTAGAATTAGGAAAAGTGTGACTTCTATCCAAACTAGCAGTTATTGTTAAACATAGTCAAACAAAAGATGTGTGTCCAGCAAAAGATTTAACGGTACAAAGGAAACAGACAGCATTCATAAGTAGGTACTAAATGTTAAGTCCTAACCATGAAATGAATGTGAATTCATCATTATTGCAACAAGGGGTGGCTTATGCAGTTATGCATCAACCGTAAAGTATTTAAGAGAGGAAACGCACCATTCATGGTAGCATTTCAAACACATGGCATGATTGCAGTTAGGCAGCACGATTTTGCTGTTCATTTCCATGCATATTCCACATTCTTCCTCCCTCTCAATATCCAAATCCGAAGCTTGTCTGTAGTCCTCATCGTCTTTTCTCCTATACCTCTCCAGACAGACGGCTTTTTGCCTTTTGTCTTCCGAATCCGTGACCCCCTTCTCGAGTTGAAGTAAGGAGGGATAAATAGCAGCTGCCCACAGATTGAATTGAAACATTAGAACCAAAAAAAATCACCTTCGGGTGAGATCAACATAATTAGAAGCTCACCATAAAATTCTTTAATGCTTGCCTTTCGTTCGTGAGTGGACATTGTTGTAGTGCCATCAACATAAACCTGCAAGAAAGGAGCAGATATTCGTATTCATACATTCAGTGTTCATTCAAATTGAAGCATGTGCTCCATCTCAACTAAAATAAAAGCCTAAGCTGACAGTTGGATTGCAAATTAATGGTTATATGCTCAACAATTCAAGAATCACGGGATAATGTCACACGACATGAGAAAATTCAAACCTTGTAGATTAAAATCCTCAACAATCCTAGAGTACCGGCAAGCTGGCAATCAGTCCATTGCACCAAGAACAGGAAGAGATGTGCCGCGGGGCTGTATGACATTCGCATTTGCAGACAAGCACCATCATACTCCCTTGGAAAGTCAGATGCCCTGCAATCCACATTGCAAGATTCAGTAAGTTCCAACAAATAAGCAAGAATCTTCTCACAAAGTATAAAAGAGGAAAACAGATTCTTCCTCTAATGAATAGATATTTTTTGAAAATCAAGGTAGGCCCTGGGAGTTTATACACTTTGCAAGATAACTATGATGATAGCATTGAAAATGATACGTTTATCAGCAACTGAAGCAATCAGTGATTAGTAAAGTGAAATTAAAACAACCATGATGAAACCTTTCTACACAAAATGCCCCATCATATTAAACTTTATAAGCTGCAAAAGGTAAATTGGAAAAAAAAAACAAAATTTTTTATTCATTAATTTTAATTGTCCAGCTCCATAAATTCTACAGTAATCCAAAACAAACCTTTTTGAGCAAAATACAGCAACAACCAATAATATTTCTCAGGATTTTTTTTTTTTTTTTTAACCTGGAGCTTGAAAAAAGTAAAATCAAACAAAAAAGTGAAGCTTACCATAACTCCCAAATATAAAACTTCAAGGTAAATTTATGAATGCAGAGAAATATCATAGAAATTCAAAGATAAAGCTTTGTAAGATTAGATAGAAAATAAAATAAAATAAAATTAAAAAATTTCAAAGAAACAGTGTGCCGAGTACCAAATTGGGAATATGCATTCACATACGTTACAGAAATAGAAAAAAAATTATTTTTCTGGGATATTTTAAGAAGGAAGAAGAAGGGAGAATCAAGAATGAGTTGACTCACAGAGTATTCGCGTGCTGAATATCAGCTTCAAGAACTTTGAGAGAATCCTTAAAGGACCTTCGCATTTGCCCTCCAAAGCTCCCACCACCTCCTCCACCAATATACATGTTTCTCTTCTCCTCTCCTCTCCTCTATACTCTCTTCTTTCTCTGTCTAAACCCACCCTAAAACCTCCCTTCCGAGCTACACACCATAACCCCCTTCACATCAAATTTCCCATTTTAACATTAAAAAGAATTATATTTTTCGCAGAGAAGCTCTGAGATTTTTCTGGGATTATAACGCTCGGAAACAGAGAGAAAGAGAGAAAGTCCTGAGTGCTTCTATCTTCTTCCTCTTCATCAAAAAGCAGAGAGAGAAAGAGAATGGGGCGGTTATCAGTGGACACGTGACGTTAGGTGATGACACGCGGAGAGGTTAAAAACTAGTGGTATTTGCGTAATTGTTTCACAAATTTGAACTATAAGTTATCCCTAACTTTTTTACTTTTTGATCATTTCATGTTTACCATGGGAAGACTGAGTTAATTTTACTAGTAAATAAACGTGGATTACTAAATACTTACTAAATTACAGTTTATATTTAAAGAAGTGAGTTTTAAAATACTTGTGACAGTCACAAAAAATAAAATTAAATACCTGTTTTCTAAACCCAAAAAAAAAAAAGAAAAAAAAAAGTAAAACCTAAAAAAGGTGATATCTTTCTTTAAAATCACCCTCTAATAAGTGTTATTATTGTGGTGGGCTCTTTTATGCTTAAATTATTGCAACAACTTCTTTAATGCCCTCCAATTTAGGGAGAGTAAATAACATCTTATAAGAAAATGAGCATCTTCTATTTTTTGGATAATAAGAAAACTTACTGTTACTATTTAATTATCTACATTGAATGACTGTTATGAGTTTTTTTTTTTTTCAAAAATATGTACAAATTTAATAATAAAAAACATCAGTCAAGTTAATTATGTACTCATATTATTCATTTGATAACTTCAAGTTTTAAATTTGACTTTTAATAAAAGCGATTTATTAATCTTCTTGATTTGAGCAGATCAATTATTCAACTATGGGATAGTTATGCTGTGGGCTCGTGCCCAGCGTGCATCATGGGCACGGTAACGGTGCCGTCAGGCACCGTTATCTTCCCTCTTTTTTTTTTTTTTTTTTTTTTTTTAATTTCAGACCGCTTCGTTATAGGAGCATATATTCACAGCTTTGTGTTCATAATTTCATAACTGTACATTCATAATTCTATAACTGTACATTCATAATTTCGTAACTGTACATTCATAATTCAATAACTGTAAATTCATAATTTTCGAAGCTCTATGTTCATAATTGTAAGTTCA